TTCCTGCATGACGGGGCAAGAGCTCACTGCCCTCACCTGGCAGAGGACAGAGGTTCCCAGGGGCCGAGGCTTGCCTACGGTGAGGGGGTCACAGCTCAGTCGCTACCTCTAAGTAAGGTCTAAGGTCTCACAGAGGGAGTTCTTGTGGCCAAACTCCCCTCGCCACCTGTTACTGTGGTGCCTAAGATGCTCCCATTGAGAACAGACAGGTCGTCTGCAGATTCATCTGTTAAACCGGCCCCCTTCTTGGGAGGGAGCATCCTGTCTGCTAGTCCACAGGCCACCCTGCCCCACAGGTGGCACCAGGAGCCGGGGCAGGAGAGCCAGTTGAGGGAAGCAGGGAAGCCCTACCGCCCCCTGCAGACTAACAGTTGCCTGCCCACCACGTCGTGGTTGCCAGGGGCGGGTGAGGGGAAACAAGGAGTGATTATGAACGGTTTCTTTGTGGGATATGAAAATGTTTTCAAACTGTGTAGTGGTGATGGTTGCACAAGCGTCAACATACTATAAAACACTGAATTACATATTATCAGTGTTTCAGGGTATGTGAGTGATTTCTCAAAACACCTCTTATAAAAATGAGTAAGCCTGGCCGGCATGGCTCAGTGGTTGAGCGTTGACCTATGAGCCAGGGGGTCACGGTTCCCAATCAGGGCACATGCCTGGGTTGTGGGCTTGATCCCCAGGTGAGGTGGCAGCCGATCCATGATTCTCTCTCATTACTGTTGTTTCTCTCTCTCTCCCTCTCCCTTCCTCTCTGAAATCAATTAAAAAAAAATAGAACAAAAGTATGAGAGACCTCTCTGGTTACTGATACCTAACGATCTTCAGAAAAAGTATGTAAAATGCTACCTTGTGTATATTAAAGGGGAAGTGGGTAAGAATGTGTATTAGTATTTGCTTTGTTGAATTTATATTGCTTGTTTCTTACTTCCAGTAGAAATTATAAAAGTGGCCCCTAGGGTGGGACCAAGATTTTTCACGTAAGCCTTCTGAACCACGTGTAACAATTTTTCTAAGAAGCGGTCAGTTGTGGCACATGCAGCAGCGCTCAGTGAGCCGACGACAGAAGAATGTCCACTGGGTTTGAATATAGTCAAGTAACTGATGACTTTTCCAGGAGTCGGGCCTAGTGGGGGTAGAGCAGAGCAGCTCATGATGGGTTGGAAAGTAAATGAGAATCAGCAAGTTTTGCCAGAAGAATGCTGAAGTCTGTAACTTGTATCAATAGCCTAGCTGACATACTTATAGAGAAGAATTTAAAGCATACAGTTTTTGAGTTTCTTCTGCTATTTTATGTTTTATTCCTGGATCAGACAGAACCATCACATAGCTGTCCACTTTGTTTCCTGGAAGACGTGCTTATGTGTCCTCCTTTGTACACCTCTGCTTACGCTGGAGGGCGCCACAGGCCGTGTGGCACACCTTTCACGGTGAGGGAGATCATCTGTATCACCTGTGGAAAAGCCAGCATCAGGCCTCGGTGATACAAACCGTTCACTTCCCACTGATAGATCCTCCCTTCCCCCAACTGGTGGGCGGAGCATGGCGTAACGGGCAGTCCGGAAATACCTGAGTGACTAACCATGTACCTTATATGGACTATACATTGGACCACCAATCCACACCTGCCAAATACCCTAAGCCCTTGTTCCTGTGTGGACCATACAGTAAGCCACCAATCAGCACACACCGAGTACACTAAGCCCCCATTCCTTCCCAGTCCGCCCCTCAAAAGGCGTGCTCACCTCTGCACGGGTTGCTGCCCGCCCCCTTGCGAGACAGCTCGGCAGGTCTCTTTCCCCTAATAAAGCCTGTGATCCTGGTGTTCGGCTCCTGACTGTTCTCACACCCACAAGAATGGTTTCTTCGTGTTCAATCATGTAACTGATAATTTGGCTTTTTGCTATGCTGTTAGGAAAATCAGTAACAAATTTTATACAATCAAACCTCGTTTCTCGAAGGCCCCCCATCTGGAACAATTCGGCTCTCAGCCAAGCTGTTCACAGAAAAAATGTCTTGGTTGCGGACCAAAACTTGTTTTGGACCTGACAACCCTTTCATGCTGATGCCTCAGCAGGACACAAAGCGTCCATCAGGCAGCAAACTAAGGAGAATGGTTAGCACAATTAAAACAGAGAGAGTCAACCAAGAGTAATGTTGCCGAGGATGCGACAGTGCACACCAGAACGTCTAGCCAAGGGGACAGGCAGAAAAGCTGGTGGTGGCTGGATAAGCGAAAAGCAGCCGGCGATAGCATTTCAGAAGCAGAGTTATACTAAAAATTTGTTTAAGGCTATTAGGGGTGGTTCAACAAGTTTAGTAAGTGTTTGTTTACAGATTAAACAGCACATTAGGCATGCACTATATATAAGAAAGATTAAAACGGAATCATTTGGGGTCTGGAATGGATTGATTCCATTTATATTACTTCTAATGGGAAAAAAAATAATTCGATTTTCAAACAAATCACTTCTCGAACAGCCTTCCGGAACGAATTAAATTTGAGAACTGAGGTTCCACTGTAGTTCAACCTTAACTCAGGAGGCCCATATGATCTTCTTTCAAAAAAATAAAAATAAAAATGTTATTATTAATTTCAGAGAGGAAGAGACAGAAACATCAATGATGAGAATCACTGAGCGGCTGCCTCCTGCGCGCCCCCTCCAGGGATCGAGCCCGCAACCCGGGCATGTGCCCCTGACTGGAATCCAACCCAGTACCCTTCAGTCCGCAGGCTGACGCTCTATCCACTGAGCTAGGACTGATCTTTATGGGTCTAAATACTAGATACCTATTTGTTCTAATACTGATACTGACTAGTACTCCCAAATATATTTTCTAATGTTGAGTTTTTAAAAATGTATCTACTTTTCTATGACAATGTATGTATCCCAATAAAACTCTTAAAATTCTATGCAAAAAAAAAGGTATGGAAGAATTAACAAAAACTATTGATAACATTGTAATTCAACATAGTTACTAATAACAGGAAAGGAGTGGAGGAGGCCAAATATGGGCACCCACTTGTGCAGCTTTGCCAGGAAGCACGGTCTATTGGTCTATTCCCCCCTGCAGATCGCTGCGGGAGGGACTGGACAGGCCAGAACAGACGCAAGCCCAGTGAAGTCTGGGTGACAGAAGGTACTTGTTTGTCAGTCACACCCGGGAACAGGTCACTGGCCAGAGTAGGTGTGGCCACTGCAAGCTCAGGATGATTTGAGAGGTTTATTTTTAGTTATTTCACAGAGGAAGGGAGAGATAGAAACATCAATGATGAGAATCATTGATCGGCTGCCTCCCTCAGGCTTCCTACTGGGGGTTGAGCCCATAACCCAGGCATGTGCTCAGACTGATCTCTTGGTTCATAGGTCGATGCCCAACCATTGAGCCACACTGACAGGGCTGAGAGGTATTTAATCTCCTAAACAAGGAGTTTTCTCTCTTGTGCTCTTGCCCTCGTGGCTCCCCTGCATGAGTCCACATGGCTCGGAGTCACGTGGCCACCACAAAGGATTCATGGACGGCAACCAGCCTGCTGGGACCAGCTCCCCAGGAAAGGGGCCTGGACACTGGCTTTGCTTCTCGCTCTGCATCCCCAGCTGCATGCACGTCCTCCAGGGTTAGATGAGGGCGATGGGACTGTGCAAGCCTAGGCTGCAATTCCACAGACATACAGCTTCTACCACAGCTCATCCCACCGAGGGGGCCGCCAAAAAGGCCTATCCCCGTGGCACCCAGGAAACAGGAGCCCACCCCCACATCCACGCTTTTCCCGGGTATCACTGTCACCACCGGAAGAGGGAAGGGTCTGCCAAGAGCTGGTAATGTGTGTGTTTTTTAAATGCGTTTTTCTTTCATCTGAATTCAATACACTGGCATATTAAGTCTGTGAAAATTAGTGGAACGTTTTGTATGTTTTAATAAAAGGTTTTAAAAAACACAATGGTGGGGGATATAACAACATCATTTGGAAAGTGTAGCTACAGGCTCACCAAACTCATCCGGTCCGGACCGGCTCTCCGCCCTGCGTGCGCCCGAGGAGACCCAGGGCCGCGGACAT